TACGATTGTCTAATTGTCAAAACTCAGGTGGTAAAAGGTCTTCAGACTGTCTTGATTTAGGACCAGAATTTGGAGATCGTTGTATCCGACCAGGGAATTCATATTCAGAATTATCTTCTATTTTATATTAATATTTTATACGATAAGGATTCTTCCTGATATTTAATCCAAATAATTCTCCTAAATCTTTTTATCTTACTAATTAGATTAGTTATTATGAGAGCATTTCATCATCCTTTTTTTGTTCGTATTATTCAAGATATTGAAAAATGTCCACTTGCTCAATTATAACTTTTTCTATCAAAATTTGATTGGTTTTGTACCTTTCAACTATTGTTTTTCATGATCATCAATCAAATGTTATTTATACATTTCTTGAATGTACCAAAGTAATTTAGAATGTGGTAACTCAAAATTCTACATTAGAAAGTATTTGTTAATTTATATTTTTAAATATTATCGATATGAAGATAAAAAAACAAATTATTTAGAATATATTAAATATTAATCATGTAGCCATTTTTTGCGCAATTTAGTATGGATATTCGATAATTAATCTCTGAAGATCCTAATTTATTCAATTCAGGCTTCAGTGATTTGTATTTTAATTATTTATCGAATAGTTTTCAATCGTTTGACAGTGATATATCATTTTAGTTCACTAACTAATCACGGCCATTTATTAATATTGATAATCTAGGAATCTAAATGACATCTATCATTAGAAATGAAGGAAGAAACGAGTAATTGTTTTATTAGATCTTAGTCAAAAAAACTAAATTTAAGAAATGTTAAAAAAAAAAAGTGAATCATACACAAGATTAAGTAAATATGAAATACAAAACAATAAATTAAATAAAAATGAGCCTCATATAAAAATAACTGTCACTAAAAAATAAAATCAATTAAACCCTTCTTAATAAATTGAACACTATATTAATTCATTTGGGTAACTATGTTTTCAAATAAAGTATGATAGATTCAATTAAAAATGCAGATTCAGAGGATGTTATAATAGGGAGACAAGAGAAACTTGAAAACTCTTAAGGTTAATTAATATTTCCAAATGACATAAGTACATAAATCTATAAATTTAGTTTTAAGAGAAGCTGAGAGATTGATTTCAAGAATTCATTGTAAAATTATCTTTCAAAATTTCTTTAGAAAGGAAACTTTAATATAACCAATATACAAATAAACATTAGATTAATTAAAATTGCATTAAAATATAATTTAGAGAATATCATCATTTTTAGAGTATGATTATTTTATACATAAGGGAACCAAAAGATTGTTATGTTTAAGATCTAGGTAGTGTATTTGGTACACACATAAAAGTTGACAGAAGTTATTCTCAAATTTAAAAATATTAGTAATATTGTCTAGGAAGTGAAACAACAATTCAGATTCTTGAAATTCATAATTTAGGATCAGAATAAAAGTAAAGTGACATAGAATTTGATAAATTAATCTCAAAATTAAGAAACATTAAATACAGATGTTCTTTATAAGGATTAAATCTAAAACTTTATGAAAGAGCATTACAGACAGAATAAAGTTTTGAATAAATACTCATAAATTTAAAAAGCTATAATATTCCATTTATTATGATGAAATTTGGAGGATCTGGAGTAACTGATGATAATTAGAATATTTTTTTTGCCAAAAATATTTCTACTGTTTTTTCAATAGGAAGAGGAAATGATAATAATATTAGAATCAATTCAAATACAATATCTAGAAAGTAAACAAGATTCAGATTTAATAAAAAGTAGTTATTAACAATTATTTATAGAGAAAATTGCTGGGAAATTGCAGATGGAACTTCAGATAAAGAATCAGCTAATGGAACTTGGATGCAACTGTAAACAATTTAAGAAAGAGATTAAAAACATGAATCTTAAGTTCATCCTTTAAAACACTTATCAGAAATCAAAATTAGTGAATATATTTTGAAAATTGAACTTTTTAAGGGAAAGTATATATTTAATTTATAATTTAAGGGAAAAGGAAAATACTAGATTTGATTATATGAAATCTTTTTTATGAAAATATGATTAGTTATTAGTATTTCTAATAATCTTAATAGTTAAAGTTAAAACAATTGGTAATTATAAAGTTATAAATATTGAACTATAATTAAATTAAATGATGGATGAGTTTTTTGAAGATGTTCAAACTTCTGAAATGCCAACTGATATTAAGTTTGAGTAGTAAAATGAGATTTAAGGAGTTTAAGTAAGAAATTCTTGTAAATTAAGTATTCTGCTTTTGATGCTTTTGAAGATGCAGCACCAATTTAACCAATTATATATAATGCTTATGTGGTATTATTAAAGTTAAATATAGAGTCCAGAATAATAAATCAGAAAAGATAAATTGCGAGTTATAGAAGATGAACGAATTGCTTAAATTAGAGAGAAAGATCAATAAGAAAGATTATTGAAATAATAAAAATAATAAAGAGGTTAGGAATTTTTGAAGGAGTTTAAAAAGTAAATAAATTTGAATTATATTGAGACAATAAGAGGCAGAAATATAATAAAGAAGAAATCAAAATAAATAGAAATAAGAGATTTGGTGTGAAAATTAAAAAAATCACAATGAATATGTATGATAGTGTATTTAGTAAAAGAAAAACTCTTGGGATTAAATATTATCTAATATTGCTTTAAAAGATGGGGAATATCCTGGATAAAAAGATGTAACTAAAATGAGATAAGCAATCATTAATAAAAGAAGTGATCTGACTAAGTGATGCTTATTAATATAATATATTAAAAGTTAAATATATATATATAACATAAATTCTAAATTTTAATAGCAATCTCAAATTAAACATGTAAATAAATTAAATAATTTAAAATCATAAATTTGGATCTTTTAGAATAGCCATTCTTACTTTCCTTTCAAAGGAATTATCCAAAAACAAGACTTCTCTTGGTATTAGATGGATAAATTTAACAGCATAAATTAGTTTGTGTTTTAAGTTTGTTTCAAAAGCAATTAATATAAGTGCAACTAAAATTAATGTGAAAGTGATGGATGAAATAAGAATAGTCTATTTTAAACCAAATAATACTTCTAAAATAGATTTATAATGTAAAACTTGCTCAGAAAAGTCATTCATTGCCATATCAGCTGCTTTTTATAAGTATTCAACAAATAAATATGCACCTTCCACTTCCAACGTATTTATAGGTTTACGTTAAGAAAAATCTTAAGTTATCAATTCTTCTGTAACTACTTTTTACACATGGTTTAAAACAGCTTAAATTCCTAATGGAAAAGATCCATCAAATGAATTTACACAAATTTACTGAATTTTTTAATTCTTTTCCTAAAATAATATATTTAAATACTGAATTAATCAAAGGACATAAATCCTTATTTTCTTAATCTAAGAAGTAATATACAAAATCAGTTTGAAATAACAAATCAACTAGATTTATTTGCAATAATTCTTATTAATATTATTGGATTTATACAGAGGACTAATTTAGCTGCTAAACCATTGTTGAAAAATCTGAGTCTTATAAATATTAAAAGAAAATTTAATTATTCAATTTTTCCTTTTAACTATAAATTAAAGCAACATTCAAACATAATTCTGAAGTATTTTTATGCATAGTAGCAGTAGGCTTATATTTTTAAATAAATTCAGAAAGAATAAATGTATTTGTTAAATTTACAATCAAGAAACCAATAAACATAGTATAGATGAAAATCAAGAACTTAGTAGAGTCAATTTTTGCTTTTTTGTAAAATTATTTTAAATGGCTTTAATCTTGTGTTTTTGATTACGAATGTAATACTTAGATTTCTCTTTCTTTATTTTTTTCATTAAAAGTGTAAAATTATGTGATATTATAATTTTAAATCTAGTTGATTAAAAAATCTATAATTTCTAATTCTGATTCTAAGAAACTTTATTGAATATTAAACATAAAATTGCCAAAATGTTGCCTTTAATTTGCAAATTATCTGTAATAATAATTTGATAACAATAAACAAATAAAATTAACACTTAAAAAGCTTGCTATCACAATAATTTGATCATTAATTTGTTAAGAATTTCTTGTAATTGTATTATTATAAATTTAATTACTTAATTAAGAACAAATTTCAAATATTAATTTTTAATTCAACATTTAAAATGTGACTGGTGTAGTTATTTTAGGAAGTTCATTGTTAGAGTACATTGCATAAATAAATTACTGATAGTCTAAATATTTTATAAAGAAAGTTCTAGCACTAAAATTTTCATAATAATAAGAAAAATCTTCTTACAAATAAATTACTTCATAATAATGATCAATAAGTAAATCTGATAATATTTGAGATTCAAAGAGCTCTTGGATTTGATTGTGAAAATGATCAAATTCTTTTTTTAAATATTTTTAGGCAAAATCAGTTTCATTAAAATACTCTTCCTTATTTATTAAATTCTAACTCAATAAATTTTTTTTATCATATATAATAAATCTCAAAATAAAGAAACTTAACATAGGTTATAAGATATCATTTTTAATAGATAATAATCCAACATCAGTAATGTAATTATTAAAATTATTTTATATCAGAAATGTTTATAACAACAAAGATACAATCCCTAATAATGAAGAAACAATTAAAAAAATGATTGCTAATCTAACAAAGATATTTCTTATTTTTTTTGATGCAATTTTATCTATGAATTCCAATTTATCCTAAAAATTAGAATCAAATTTTTCCTTTTTTTTTGATGGAATGCAAACATTTTAAACAGATATATTATATTTATTATGATCCAAAGAAAATTATGGCATACTTACTTATTTCGAGAAATTTTTCTAAATTATGGAAATGTCATCACTTAATTTAGATATATCGTAATATCGACTGTAAAATTTTTATTAAAATAACAATTCGTATATAGAAGATTTTTCTTATGGAGAATTTAATTATTAATATGCAAGTTCTGGTTAAAATAGTTAAATATCCAAGTCTTTTTAATCATCAAAATCATATGGAGAATCAATCTTTATTTCTTCCAAGAGTTTTTATTATAAATCTATTCTTTAATTAGATTTTGTTGAGCATTCAATGAAATTTGATAGCATCGAAGTAACATTTTGCTTTTTTAAATAATCAAATGTTAATATTATATATGCCAACTAATCATTGTGATACTTACATTATATTTCAATTTATGATTCAAATCTATCTAAAAGATTTGAATTTGAAAATCTTTCTATAATTGTATGTTTTGTTAAATCAAAAATATAACATTATTTTATAAAATAGAATTCAATTTAGGAAATCTATTTATTATTTTCAATCAGCATTAAAAATTGAGGAATCAATATTTATATGTTTAATCCATAAATCATTTCATCTGGTTAAAAATAATCAATTTAGGATTATGAAAAATTTAATAAGTCTAACAGATGTTTATTTATTCCAAAAATTTTAAATTAATTATTAACAATCATATAACCTTTAGTATCTTTTAGTTCTAAAATTATATTAATAAATCTAAGTTCAGATAAGCTATTATAAGAATCTAAATATGAATCAGCTGTCTTTATAAATTTGTTTTAAAGAATAAACAAACGCCCATTTTATTTATATCTAGGTGATTAACCAGTTTAAAAGAAATCATGTAAGTTATAACCATGATAATCTCTAATTCCTTATGGAATTAATGGCTCAATATATTGAGGTAATTCATTTTGAAAAAACTAAGTAGCATTACTAGAAGCTCTTTCAATTTTTACATTATAAGAACAATCCTCTAATTTTGTAATTAAAAATGCAACTTTATTTTATTTTGCTAATAATAAAATACTACTTTATTTGTATTAAGACTCTAACTCATAAATAATTGAATGTTCTCTGTTAGCTTAAGCATAGTTTCTAAGAATTTCAGTTTAATAAAACACTTTTAAATTTAAAATACTAATTGCTAACTTAAAAATTATTATTTATTACATGGATTTTTTTAGTAGATTTGATTGATATTTTACTCAATTTTGCTAAGTTTAAGAGAAATTTTAAAGCAATTATCAAATATTCTATTTTATGATATTTAATTTTTAATCAAACGATTATAAAAAACACATTTATCTTCTAATAATTTAATCATTTGAAGATTTAAAATTCTAATTATATATTCTGTTTTATAGAATTCTTCAAAAATCAAAGTATTTTAATCATATTATTTTCTAAAATTCTTTCTTAATCTAATTTTTAATAATTACTTACTTTCCTCTCTTAAATAAGAATAAATAATTTGATATAAAAAATATGCTGATTTTTAATTATCTAAATAATATATTGGCTCAATGATTGACATAGAAGAGTTTTTCATTAGAAATTTATATGGACTATTTTTATTGTAGTTTTTGTATTTATGATCTTGAAACTCTAAAATAGAACTACAAATTGCATAGGCTTAAATATAATTTTAAGTATAAATATGGATTAAGATCATTTAGATAATTTAAGAATTAGTTAATGTAGATTATTAATTAGGGTGAGTTTATAATTATAGAAAGACATCATTGTTTTATTAATTCTAAGAGCAATTGCAATTTAGACACAAGGATTAATGTTTTTAATTTATGTAGAGGTAAAATGGTAAATTTTATGGATTATTTTTAGATTCCAAATGCTAAAATAGTATCTAAAAGACAATATTTGGATGAGTGAAATTATTATATATTTTTAGAATATCAATTCTAATCTTGATTTATCTAAATATTTTAACAATTAACGGTAAAGCAATTAATTAGTAAATTCCAAAATCTTCCTTAGTGATATTAAATAATATAGTAAAATACTCAGTTATTGATAATATTATAGCTAAACTTTAGGATATGATAATTATGGTATATGCGTTTTTATCTAAATAATGGAAATTTTTCATAATATTAATAAGCATTAAAATAGAAATTAAAAATGTAGTAGTTACTTAATAAATATAGTTTAGGGAATAAAAACAATATAATAAAATTTAAATAAAATTTAAAGTATGAATTAAGACATCCAAGAGTGTTATATAAAATTTGGATTATATTGTTTTTTGATAAGATAATTTATTTTAATTGATCAACAATTTTGTTATGTCAAATAATGAAAATAAAAAAAGAGTAATAATTATGAGAAAAGTATTAATAATTGATTGATTTTAGATCTATGTTAAACTAATCTCAAAAAGTAAGTTAATGATAATTATTTGATAAAACTCATAAATAAAGGATGTGATTAGGTTTATTAATTTAATAAGTTTGTTTTGCTTAAAAACATAATTTTTTAAAGTAATTTTATGATTAAATTAATCTTCTTTATAATTGAAATAATTAATAAGTTAATAAGTCATATTGACAATTATGATAATGACAATAATTAAAGGTAATATAAATAAATATTATCCTCTAATTATTATTGATGGTCTTGAAAACTACGATATAAGCTAGTATATTTGGTTGTATTATGTTTAACTATTTTAATGTACATAAACTATGTAGGAGGAATTCTTAAATTATCCCATAGAAAATATAATATTTGATAGTAGTTTGTTTGGAAATGGGTATTGATTATTCATTATAATACATATTTTCAAAAGGTCTGAGAATCCTTATCTCAAAATCTGAATTAATTTCATAGCTGAATATAGTTTATATTAATTATATAAAGTACACATTCAAAATTAATCTTTATCAAAAAACAACTTAAATTTAAAAAAAAATAGTGATTTATTATTGATGTAAAATTTCTAATCTAAAATGATTTATAAATAAATAATCAGTTGATGCTCATTTATCAATCAAAAAATAGTTTATATATAAAATAATTTAAACATATTCTTTATTCTAGTATTTTAGACTAGAAAGAAATTATCAATGTGAATGGACTTTACATTCTTTTATAAAATCACTTTCCAATTCTGATTTTAAATTTATTTGGATGATTTTTTTCATCAAAATTATTTAATAACAAAACTTTTGAATTTGCGTTTTATCCATAACTCAGGTCAAAATAATCATTAAATTTATTATAAATAAGATAAAATTACATAAAGATTTTAATTCTATTCATTCTAAATTTTTTATTAGTTTTTGTTCTGAATTAAATAAGTTAACTCATATTTTTAAATTCTAAACAAAAATTGATTTTTTAAAAGATTCAGACTTTTGATTTCATTTTATGATAATCAATCTAAAACAGAGTTTGATTATACAAACAATATGATAGAATGAATAAATTGTTTATTTTATATTTTCTTCTTATAGTAAAGATGAATGAGAAAAAAATATCAAATTAGTTGAAAAAACTAACAAAATCCATATAATAATTATTCTAAAATAATAAAATACTTTGAACTCTTTTCTATGAATGGATTTCATTCTAAATCAACATAAATAATAAAAAAATTACAGTTCAAACATAAATTGATGTATTCAATTTTAAATTTGATAATTTAAAAATAAATATACTTTTAAATAATTAACTATACTAATACCTTAAATAAATAAATAAAAATATTTACTTATGAGTAATTCTTTTCAAAAGAGAGAGAAAGGATTCATTGGAAATTTAAAATAGCTAATAAATGTATATATTTATATATGAATTTAGAGTTCGGAGTATGGCAATATCATAAAAGTCTTAGATTCTAATAATGGTTTTATTATAATTAATGACTATGAATTTTAACATCAAATATTAAAGAACCATTTTAAGCATTCAAATATAGCAAGTTTTAAGAGGTTCATAAGAAGTTTTAATAATTAGATAATTAAATATGTATGGGTTTTAGTTTACAAGAACATTAGAAGGTTATATGAAATTTTAGCATAACTAGTTTGATAGTAGAAATGATGAGGGGCTTTAAATAAGATAAAATACATTAGTTTCAACATTAAGCTTAGATTAGGAGTTATATTTGCTAAAATTATAGTTGAAAGATATTTAAAGAAATCAACAAATAATGTAAAAGTAAATAAGAGAAATTATTGAATAACAGAAAGAAACTCAGAAAAATATTAAGAAGGCAATGCTAGTATTAATAAATAAATTATTATAATAGGATTATGTAAGAATAAGAGTTAATGGATAAAGTAGAGGGAAAAAAGTAGGAAAATTTGTATGGAAATTCCATATTAATATTACGAATAAGAAATACAGTAATAATTTAAAGTAGAAAAATAGAAAAATTTCTATATAAGAAGTGGAGACAAGCTAACCATTGTTTAGAAAATCTTTGTATAGAAGATGTAAATTTATAGATCTTCAAATAATAATTTTATACTCCATTTTTATATAATTCGATTTTTGACATTAAGATTCCAAATTTTAATCTTGAAGGTTCTGAAATTTTATAACTTTGTGATAATTAAGATTAAAATGAGGATAGTGATTTGGATAAATTAGAAGTTCAAAGTGTAAGTAATATTAGTAATTATTTAAATTTATGAATCTAAAAATATACTGGAAACTGATATTTATAAACGTGATATTCTATATTAAGTATTATTTCTTATTTTTTAAAATGAAAATAAATATAATTGAATAAATAAAATACATATGAATTAAATAATTTTATTAGTAAAAGGAATTTAATATATTAATTATAATAAGTTTTAGGAATAATAAGAATGATTATATATATAAAATGAGTTAAGATAAATAATAAATTAAGAATAAGTTTAGTAAAGAATTAATTAAAANACTAATACCTTAAATAAATAAATAAAAATATTTACTTATGAGTAATTCTTTTCAAAAGAGAGAGAAAGGATTCATTGGAAATTTAAAATAGCTAATAAATGTATATATTTATATATGAATTTAGAGTTCGGAGTATGGCAATATCATAAAAGTCTTAGATTCTAATAATGGTTTTATTATAATTAATGACTATGAATTTTAACATCAAATATTAAAGAACCATTTTAAGCATTCAAATATAGCAAGTTTTAAGAGGTTCATAAGAAGTTTTAATAATTAGATAATTAAATATGTATGGGTTTTAGTTTACAAGAACATTAGAAGGTTATATGAAATTTTAGCATAACTAGTTTGATAGTAGAAATGATGAGGGGCTTTAAATAAGATAAAATACATTAGTTTCAACATTAAGCTTAGATTAGGAGTTATATTTGCTAAAATTATAGTTGAAAGATATTTAAAGAAATCAACAAATAATGTAAAAGTAAATAAGAGAAATTATTGAATAACAGAAAGAAACTCAGAAAAATATTAAGAAGGCAATGCTAGTATTAATAAATAAATTATTATAATAGGATTATGTAAGAATAAGAGTTAATGGATAAAGTAGAGGGAAAAAAGTAGGAAAATTTGTATGGAAATTCCATATTAATATTACGAATAAGAAATACAGTAATAATTTAAAGTAGAAAAATAGAAAAATTTCTATATAAGAAGTGGAGACAAGCTAACCATTGTTTAGAAAATCTTTGTATAGAAGATGTAAATTTATAGATCTTCAAATAATAATTTTATACTCCATTTTTATATAATTCGATTTTTGACATTAAGATTCCAAATTTTAATCTTGAAGGTTCTGAAATTTTATAACTTTGTGATAATTAAGATTAAAATGAGGATAGTGATTTGGATAAATTAGAAGTTCAAAGTGTAAGTAATATTAGTAATTATTTAAATTTATGAATCTAAAAATATACTGGAAACTGATATTTATAAACGTGATATTCTATATTAAGTATTATTTCTTATTTTTTAAAATGAAAATAAATATAATTGAATAAATAAAATACATATGAATTAAATAATTTTATTAGTAAAAGGAATTTAATATATTAATTATAATAAGTTTTAGGAATAATAAGAATGATTATATATATAAAATGAGTTAAGATAAATAATAAATTAAGAATAAGTTTAGTAAAGAATTAATTAAAAAAAGTATTAAGATTAATTGAAAGATGATAAGATGAATAAAAGTATATTTATATATGTATAATGAATAAATTAATAAT